TATTTCCAGTTCCCTATGTTTTCCAGTTCCCTATGTTATCCGGCACTTTGTTCAGACGGACGGCTTGCCCTTGTTCATTCCCGCGGATGACACTGGACATGGGAGAGTCAGCGCATACCGCACGAGCACGAGGCTGATAGCATTGACCAGTTCCGTTAGCATGGAACCAGTTCCATAAGAACGGAACCAGTTCCCATACGCCTGGGTCACCGCATACTCTCATTAGAGCTTTTCAGACTGAGTTGTGGATGACATTGCGCAGACCGATACATCCGCATCCGGCTTTAATTAGATTCAGTCCGGAAAGTGCTAGTGCGAGTATGCCCTCGGTCTCACGGTATGCAGCACTGGGTTCCATAAGCATACTCTCAGTAGAGCTTTTCAGACTGAGTTGTGGATGACATTGCGCAGATCGATACATCCGCATCCGGCTGTAATTAGATTCAGTCTGGAAAGTGCTAGTGTGAGTATGCCCTCGGTCTCACGGTATGCAGCACTGGGGAGAAGTTCAGATGAAGGGTGGGTGGATTCACTCCCTTTCGTGCTGTGTTGAACTGGGTAGCTGTCGGCTGGGAAATGCTTGTGCCAAGATAACAAAGTATACTTACCCCGTTGGGCATTTAACTTCAACGTTCCTCCCCACAATTTTGGTGTTTTCGGATAATTTTTTGAACCAAAAAATCGTCTGGGCTTACCTTGTTCCTGCCACTAGGACCTGAGATTTCGGTTCAAAGAACGCCGGGCCGGAATTGCGGGCAAGAATGTTAAAAGTTAAATACTCAAACGAGTATGTTCAGCATTTTGCTGAACTGAAGATGTTCCTCGCCACAATTTTGGCGTTTTTTGAACCGAAATAGTCAGGGCTTACCATGTTCCCCCACCAGGACCTGAGATTTCAACTGAAAAAATGCGGCCAGGAGCGTCAAAGTGAAATGCGCGAACGAGTACGTTCACACTTTTCTCGCCACAATTTTGGCATTTTTTGAACCGAAATCATCAGGGTTACCCTGTTCCCACCAATCGGACCTGAGATTTCGGTTCAAAAATGCCGGAATTGCGGCCAGGGGTTAAAGGTAAGTGTCCAAACGGAGTATGTTCAGCGTGTTTTCTGAACCGAAGATGTTCTCGCCACAATTTTGGCATTTTTTTGAATCGAGGCTCACCGTGTTCCCACCACAAGGACCTGAGATTTCAGTAAAAAACAAACAAACCGGAGGAATGTCAAATGAGTACGTTCAGCGTTTTCATCTCCGTTTTCTGAACGGAAGACGTTCCTCACAACAATTTTGAGCTTTTTGAACCGCAATTGTCAGGGCTTACCTTGTTCCCACCACTACAGTCTTCCCCCAATACAACTTACGGTCATTATAACTGAATTTAGACTGAAAGATCCACCAAATTCAGCTGTAATGACCGGACGTTGTATTCGGGGGAAGACTGTAGTACCTAAGATTTCGGTTTAAAAAAATGCAGGAATTGTGGCCAGGGATGTCAAAGTTAACTGCCCAAACGAGTACGAACAGTGCTTTCTGAACCGAAGACGGTCCGCGCCACAATTTCGGCGGCGTTTTTTTAACCGAAGCCGACAGGGCTAACTGGGAACGGCTAATCTAACTGCCCTAACGAGAACCGTTACGGATTAGACCAACAATTACCTCTTATCATCACCATAGGTACCAGGAGGCCCTCCGTTTTTCAATTGGTCTGTCTGATCTGTGGTTCAGGTTTCTTTTCCTGTCTACAGCGGTTGGCCTGATTGGCCAGTGGGCTGGTCGTTGAACCTTACTGAGTGTATTGGCAAAATTTTTATCGTGCGCAGATGATTCGCTGTGTGGATTCTCTAAGCAGCAAGCCTGGGAGTCTGTACTACTGTCTTCACCCAAATAGAATGCATGCATGGTCATTATTGATGTACCTAGACTGGAAGTTGCATAAAAAACAGCTATAATGGCGTCTGTACTACCGTCTTCTCACAAATAGAATGCATGCATGGTCATTATTGCTGTACCTAGACTGAAAGTTGCTGAAATGAGCCAAAAGTACTTGTCAAGTTCAACCTTGCATACATCAATGATCATTCACATGAGAGTTCACATGTGGGAAGCCAAATCGAGATACAATCCGCGCATGAAGATGTCATCCCCAAAATTATTATCAATATACAAGAGTGTTTGTCTCCTATGGCTCTGCCGATCTGCCGAACACACACACACACACACACACACACACACACACACCGGATCTCAACCAGATAGCGGCTATGGCTTCTCTCTCCTCTCTCTCTCTCTCTCGCTCAGTCTTGCTTCACTCTCTGACTTGGTTCACTCTGCCTCACTCTCTCTCTTTCTCTAACCTGGATCGTCACCCTGGATACACTAGCGCAGGTAGCTTACACCTTGGCGGCTATGGCCGCCGTCCTCCTGCTCTATCTCTAGCCTGGCATTGGAGATCTCACAAGCGCCCTCTTTTTCTTCAGGCACACAGTGCCCAAGTTGCCTTAACGCACAAGCAGCAGCTGCGTGTCCGCATCTCGCAACCGAACAAGTGATGAGCCGCTGCACTTCAGCAGCTAAATATAGGACTAGGCGTCGCGTAGCTTGGCTTGGCTTGGCCTGCTTCAGACCGGTACCAGTTGGCCGCGGCCTGTCTGCTGCAAACATTTTGTCGGTCCGCTAGCTTCCGGACTTTCCTGGGACATGCTGCAAAATTGGACTTGGGACTGTCGGACCGGACTGGACTCTTCCAGACTTTTCTTGTCGGGTACCGGACAGACTCCTACCGACCTACAACGCTTTGGTACTGACACCTACCGACCTACGATGTTTCGGACCCCTAGACCCTATGGCATCAAATACAGCTATAATGACCAGGGGACCGCCCTGGGACTGGGAACTTGTCGGGACCCTGGGACCGGGACTGGGTGTCTTCCGCGTGAATCCTTTCATGGCATCAAATACAGCTATAATGACCATGTGTTTATTTGGGTGAAGACGGTCGTGGTTTTCATGAAGGGGGTTGAGTGTTGCGGTATCTAGACGGAAAGTTGCCGTAAATGCAAGCTATAATGACCGCGCCTCTATCCAGAAGAAGACGGTTGTGGTTCTCATGATGAGTGAGTTGAGTGTTGGAATCCTGTTGATTGCATTGACGTTGTGGTTTATCCTGTTTGCTTTTGGGAAAGAAAGCAAATTGTTTTCCGCAGACTCGTTGTTTTGGAATCTTTGCTCCAAAAGCAGTGCCACAGCTGGATGATACTGTTTTATTGCAGCATAGTCAAGCTATGATAACAGGCCATGACCCTGGCGACTCCTCTCCCTTCCCAAATATCGCCCACTAATGGTCAATTTTTCACCGAGCCTCTCATATTTCCCTGAATTTTTTGTTTTTCCTCTTTTTCTGTGTTTGTGTGATATCTATGTGCTTTAGGGTATATCACTATGTCTGTATTCGGTTTCGACGTATTTGGACCAGTAACAAAAGAGTTGGCAAAAACACTGAAAAATTGGAGAAAAATTTGGCGAACTCTGAAAGCTATTTCAAATAGGGTCTCATAGTGATTTTGAATTTTTGAGGGTTTTTTTGTTTTTTTTTTGAGCCTGCATTGTTTGTTTGTGAACTTTTCGATGACATTGCTTGTGATGATCCGGCGAAAACCCACCCCCAAATTTTGGCCCTTCCACTAATCATCTCTCGCCCTTTTCCCTGTTTTCATTTTTTTTGGGTACTCTTGCGTTCTCTTGGTGCTCTAGTCTGAAGTTAGTTTGTGGATTGCTTCTTATGCTGTGTTCCTCCCTCACAACTTCCATGTATCTATCCAGAATGTTGCCATTCATACTTCAGAACTCTGACAGACAGGCAGACAGACAGACGGACAGACTGACGGACAGTCAGACAGTCAGGCAGATAGTGTTTATAGTCACTTTATACTCATCAATTCAGTCGTAAACATTTTGAGATGAGATAAGTGTGGACCCGTCAATCTGTGGAGGTGTGGACCGCTCAATTGACAAGAAGGCATGAACAGCTATGGTTTGGAAGATTATGATGGTGACAATATATGGAAACCGTTAGTAATGAAGGAACACAGTGAACTTGGCAAAGCAGAGCATATATGCTACCGGTTTTTGGATTCTTCGACTTCTGCTCTGTCCAGTTGACATTGACACTTGGCTGAATCTCCGTCCAATGGACATTGACACTTGGCTGAATCTCTGTCCGATTGACATCGACACTTGGCTGAATCGCCTTCTTGCTCGTGATCTTCTTGTTTGTGCAATATTGTAGGAGTTTGTGGTTGTGTTCTTATAGTTGGGGGAGTGCTGTGTGTGTCTTGACCCTGTATGCCCTCCTGGATGTCTGTGTTCGCTAGGTACCAAGTCAAGGAACCGGACGAGGATGATGGCGAAGATGATGATGGGGGGTTTAGAGGGCGTGGGGAAGAGATCCGAGAGCAGCAGCGGAGGGCATCTGCTGCCCCGCCAGGCTCCTTCCCTATTGGGTCTTTTTTATCTGGGATGTTCCCCCGTGTTGGCAGTGAGTCATTCATGGCAAGTGCGTTTGGAGATCCTTGGGTGTTGAATCAGTCACGACCACGAAATGTTCGCGATATTCCAATTATGGGGGACGATGATGACGATAATGGGGCGGTTGGTGGATTGAAGATCTCAGAGATACCTGTGGAAGAGGCAGAGATGATGGAGGCGAGAGAGAACGACCCCTCCCAGGCAGGAGGTAGTAGGGTAGAGAGCATGGGTGGAATTGGAGGAACGGGTGCGAAGCCAGCAGAAGGTAAAGCGTCAGGCCTGGGAGAGAGGGGCCCTGTCGTCGATACCGGTGATGAAGATAAGCCGGATTTACTTGGAGGGTACATGGATCCAGATCTTCAGGACACAGAGGAACACATGATCAGGGCTGCAATTGAAGAGTCCCGCAAGGCTGCATTACAGTCGGGTGGAAACAACGAGGTAAGGTGACAAAGGCGAGCATCCTTGCTCTTACATTCCTGCCTCACCCTGTACCCTGTTCCATGATCTTTATTGTAAAGGGGTACCTGTGTCTTGTTTTTTTTTTTAGATTGGGCAGGACTGCATGACGGTACGACTTCGGGAGTACTCGCACAAGGACTTTCCAAGAACCCTCTCACCACATTCCACACGAGATGCCTGTAATATACTCTCTCTTTGTTCGCGTCTAACATATCAGAGTTCAGCTGCCTTAGTCATAGCGAAAGGCCTGTAATATTCCAGGCATCAAACGACACTGGATAACACCACCTGAGTTTTCAGCTGAGTTCATGATTGGGCCAGAAATGGTGCAACACGCCAGATATCCAACAAAGCAAGAAAGCATGGCAAAAAGAACAGTGCAAATGCATACATCTGCACCTCTTGGGGGATTGGTGCCACTGGACCGAAATGGCTGGGCCTGCCAACCCAAAAGAAAAGAAATTGAGCCCCACACAGGTTCCTTCTTTTTTGACATGCAGAATTGCAGATTGGTTAAAACTTGAAACAGCCTCGAACGGAGTCGTGGTTTAAGGAGGGTCTTCGAACAGTGGAGTGGAGCTCGACTATTCAATAGTCGTGGCCACTTATCTGGATGGGTCTGTGTGGCATGCTGAATAGTGGAGTAGAGCTTGGCTATTCAATAATTGTGGCCACTTATCTGGATTGGTCTGTGTGGCATGCTGGGACCTCCCAAACCGAACCTGGAGGCGTGGACAGATATTTGGGCAGCCCTGATAAATGGCCTTTGCCATCACGAGTCTCTAGGGGGAGTGAGTTTCCAGGCAGGGGTGTGGATATTTTGTCTGCTCTGAGGTTGGTCTATATTCAGTTTGCTTGGTTTTTGATTGCTGCATATTTTGTTAGTGTACGGCTTGGCAATTTGTATTGTCCTCGTCTAGACTGTATCGCTTCAGCATTTGTCCGAACAGGTAATTGTTTATCCTGTTCGGTTCTCTGACAGATCCCGTTTTACATTGTGACCAGTTATGTCCGTGGATGGCTGGACCTGGGTTTGTGTGGTTGCACCCAGTACGGCTGCTCGGTGCAGGCCCAGCTGCTGATGCAGGGTGTGGACCTGGACACGGGTTGGACGCCAGGGCCACACATTTTGAGCCCGGGACTGGGTTTTGCCACACAGTCTCCCATCACGATCATTAGATACTTGATGGATCGGACGGCCTAGGTGAGTGGCCGAGGGAGCAGTGCCTTGGCTGAGTGGTACTATAAGGGGGGTCGATCCAGGAGGAGGAGCTTGAGTTCATTGTGGCGTTGCCGGAGTCTGTCGACTGGCGAGTAGAGCAAGTCGGTGAGGAGGTAGAGTAGTGCTGAGTGTTGGTAGCAGAGGCTCAGGTGTAATGGAGCCCACCCAGCCGGTGTACGAGGGACCTTAGTTCATTGAGCGGCGAAAATCAGAGTCTTGAGCTGCTGATGCACTGGAGGTGTCTTGGAAAAGAAGACCGGCTATGGCCATTGGCAGACCTCTAGGATATGGTGTCAGGTGAGTGGACTTCACCTTCCTTGCTACCTGTCGGCTGGTATTCTAATGCTGAGCTCCTCCTGCCTCCACTGGTGCGGGGCTGCGCCAACTCATGCAGCCTGGTGGCATGCAATGAAGTGAGGACTGCCTACCACTACTAGGCTGGCCTCTCTCAAGTCCTAGTGGACTGGCCACCAACCAGGCGGCCTCTCCTGGGCTGTCCAATCTCACAACTACCCGTCGGTCCGGTCATGTGACCGAGAACTCGGGCGCAGGCATGGAAACATGTGGCCTGGTTTCCTTTCCTGCACAGGCCCGAAAATGTGTGGCCTGGTTCCCATCTCAGGGCCAGGCCCTAATCCTGTGGTCTCAGCAGCGAGGCCTGGAAAGAAAAATGGCCTGGCACGAAAGGTTGGACACAGGCCCAGTCTCAGAAATGAGCTGGACCAAAACGTGAAACAGTATACACCGGCGGTCTGGATAAGATGAAGTCCTCGGATGTCCTCCAGAGCAGGATAAAGGCAACAAAGAAAACTGTACTGAGAATAACACAATATGCAGTAAATCGAAGCAAACTGAATTGAACTGGACTGAGAACTGTCAAAATACACAGAACTGTCAAAATACACAAGCTTTGACTCTTAATATAGGAAGTACTCACAGAAATTGAAAGCAAAGCAACGTGAATAGGCTGGACACAGAACGCACAAAACGCACACACACGCTTGAACTCAGAACATAACAAATATGCGCATGCCAGTCTGGGAACCCACTCTCCAGGCCCTCAAAATCGGCTGAGGGGCCTTGGCAAGTGTCTGGGCGTCCGAGGGCGCTCCCCCTAGTATGTCCTGGCTCCTAGCCCAGTGCGGGAGGCCCTCAATATGCCACAGTCCCCCCTCCTTATAAAGCCGAGTTCATGCCAGGGTGAGGGTAACGACCCAAAGGGGGCACCTGAGTCCTGGCGGGCGGCCTGGTGGAGCCTTTGAGGCTTCTGTCTCTGCACCAATCTCGTGAATCTCTTGGAAACCATCCATAGGAGGCTTCTGCAAGAGACAATCCGGAAAATAGTATTTCTGAGTATCAAAAAATGAGCAAGCTTTAAAGAATAAAAGGCCGGATGTGTGGCAGGAGGTCGATGACAAATTGTGAAATGAAGGTCTGTTGGCTGTGTCCTGGAAGGAGCCAGAAGCTGAAAAGATCCCAGCATTTGGGGAGAAGCTTGCTGGACTCCGCCACCAAAACCCAAACATGATCGCCTGCATGCGAAGGGTAAGGTAGTCGATGGTGGTTTGCCTGCTGCTGCATGCGGATCTGTGTGCGAGTTAACTTATCCTGGGCTTTCAGAATAAAGTTGTGGACCTTGTTTTGAAAGGCCAATTATCCGGGAAGATCCACCTTAGCCTGAGGAGGAATGAGAGAGTCTGTAAGAAATTGTGCTTGCACTCCGTGCTCCAACACGAATGGTGACATGCCCCGATGGTAGGATGAACAAATGTGTTATGTGTGAAAGTCACATCGGCTAGATGCTGTTTCCAATCCCGCTGGTCCAGACAAATGAGAGTCCGTAGAATGACCCGAGCGGTATGGTACGCACGGTCTGCCTGGTCATCAGTGTGAGGATGGCGAGTGGAAGTTGGCTTGAGAACTGAACCAGAGCTTCATGAAGTCAGACATGAACCGAGCGTAGAAGCCAAAAAAATGTCGACAAGGAACCCCTTGGACAAATCTTGCCCTGATGTAGGACTGTACTCTCTGGCTGTGGCTTGATACTTGCAAGTTGCAAGGCAATAACCGCACAGAGTTGGTCAAACAGTTGATATCTGTTGAAATCCTGTCGTGACCAAATCGATTACACTGAAACGGCCCACTAACATCCATAGCGATCAGAACATGAGGCTGAGTCAGAATCGGAAGTGGCTGCAATTCCGAGTAAGAAGGATACTTGCAGGGCTTGTGCTGCTGGCACACGTTGCAAGTATGGCACCCGGCCTGTAAAGCTGCTATCATAGCCCTAGTGCAGTTTAAGCCAAAGTAATAACACCTGCAGAAACAGGTATCTGAATGATATCAAACCTGAATTATGCACTTTTTTAGGAATCGTTAGGGCTTCTTTCTACACCGCGGTTTGAAGATAATCTGACTTTTCTCCATTCCATAGGTAATATCTTCAACCACTGTCATGCGGCCAATAAGACACTAACCTCATCCTCGCGTGCGTGGATGAGCGCATACATAAATAAAATAAGCTGCTTGTTTTGTTGCAGCGTCTGCGTTGACTCTTAGGGGTGAGTTGCTTTCTTTGCTCAGCTGGATAGGTCAACAACCTTCTCTAGCAAATGACCTATGGAATTAGTCTGAAGTAGTAAGCTATTGCCAACTGCGAGTAACAGAAAGGAAGTTGTGGCCTGACGAGTGCAAAAGGGGAACCCATGGTGCTTGCGGAAATGTGAAGTAGGAGGCATGGGTAATAAACATGTATAGATCTCCCAGAGCGGTCTTGTACGGAGAGGAGCAAAACATAGATCTGCAAGTGGAGGCTTGCTGTTGCTGATCAACAGACCCTGGCCATACTCCATGCCACTGTGATTTCAGTAGAGGAGATTTAGCTCTTGCAGTGAGACAACCTTGCGCTGCTGTAGATGAGGGACAAACTGATCTCTGATGATGAAAGTCTGGGATACAGGCTTACAAATTTAGGGAGACAGCTGCAGCAGCAGTCCCCTTGTTCTTGTGTACTTCCTCTGATCCACTTTCTTCATTGGCTCAGTAGGTCAAGGGCATTGCCACATTATTTTGAATTGTACAGGAGTTCGCATGAGCATGCCAGTTGTAGAAGTTTGTGTTCAAGACGCTGTATGGGCATTTCGAGTGGATGGTCATGCCTTTTGACCTCATGAATACTCCAACGACATCCTAGGTTGCAACGATAAACAAGTTTCCACTATGTCGGACTGCTTCATAGTGTTGGAGCGACTTTGCCAGGTTGAAGAAGAACAAAGTAAATTGCGACAAGTGCAAGTTTGCCTAGCAGGATGAGTACCACTTTGTCACACCTTAGGGCATCTTGTTGCTCGAGTCTACCAACGTCAGTGAGATATCATCCTTCAGTTATTCGGAGTGCTTTATCCATGATTGTGTGAAGGTTGTTGCACCCTTGACACCACTTCAGCACAAGGACCAGCCCTTCAATTTTAGTGAGGATGCCTGTGTGGCATTTCAAGCTCTCAAAATCGCCAGTTCATTGCCCGGGCAAACTTGAGAATCAAAATCGAGCCAATCCGGAAATGTTGTGGGCTCAGGGCTACCGAACCACAATGGCTGGCAGCACCAGACAGACGAGGAAAAACAGTGCACCGCTCGCCGTTCGGCAAAGCTTGGTGTGCAGTGCGAATCAACCACGGCGAAAAGCCGCTTGGATGCACTTGTCTTGCAGGGCTGCTATGTTGGCAGCCCCGGTTTTGCGCATCTTTCTCTACTTCGC